ATTGTTTAAGTTAGAAATTACGTATATATTTCATTATTTAGTTTGGGTTGCCATTTGTTAGGCAAACATTAGGATTGTTTACGTTAGAAATTACGTATTTATCATGCTTTAGTTTGGGTTGTCATTTGTTGGGCAAGCAACCGTATTGTTTACGTATATATCATGCTTTAGTTTGGGTTGCCAATTGTTGGGCAAACGTTAGGATTGTTTTGGATATAATTTTCGTATCTATCACTATTTTTGCCTGGAAACGTCTCATTTACAGCCGTTATGTTGTCAAAATTGACTTGAAATCTTTTTTAAACCATATATAGAATGAGTATTCAATGGGTCTTACCCAAAGATACGGCGATGATCCCTCTACCTATCCCTTAGTTGATAAAGAGCTGTGGGAGTAAGCGGTTGGGGGAAGCAAAAAGGTCGTTTATTTGGGTTTGGGTACAACCAAGATCCCAATTGTGTCTTGACCGGCAGCTACACGGAAGCTGCTTCATCGTCTTCGGAACAACGGGTATGTGTCTTTTTTTTCTTTTGATGATGTTTATCGATCTAGTTTATAATTCATATGAAATATTATAACGTTTTATTTATTTTTATAGAAAATTGTAAACTTAGAGGCCAAAGTTATGGATTTACAAGAAGAAAATCAGCGTCGACGGACGGTAGAGGAGCAACTTTTGAAACAAATGCATGATATGACTGCTTTGGTTAACGAACTCCGTTAATCACAATTTCTACCGCCATATAATTGAATATTGTTTGTTTATTTGGAACAATTTAGTTTGTTTGTAACATTGTGTGATACTTTAAATTGTATATGTTTTGTAACAATTGTTTACTTTAATCAATGTATGATATTTGGTTGCATTTTAATTTTTTAGTTTTATCCATATTTTTACAGATTTACAGGATTTAAATATTTATTGAAAAAATAAAAAAAATTAAAATAAAATTCCTTTTCCGGCGGAAGAGGCCGCCGGTAACATTTTTTAAATTTTTTTTTGAAAATCTTATTTAAATTAAAAAAAAGAAAAAACATTACCGGCGGATCCGGCCGCCGGTAATTTTTTTTTAATTTTTTTCAAAAATCTTATTTAAATTAAAAAAAAAAAAGTTACTGGCGGATTTCCGGCGGATCTGGCCGCCGGTAAATTTTTTTAATTTTTTTTAAAAAAATCTTATTTAATTAAGTTTTTCCGGCGAGAAAATACTCCGGCGGATTTCCGGCGGACAAATCCGCCGGAAAAAGTTTTAATTTTTTTTATTAAGTTAAACCAAGTTCCTTAATTTTTCCGGTGAAAGATTTCCGGCGGCCGTAATCCGCCGAAAAAAAAAAAATCCGCCGGAAAACTCGACGGAAAATAAATCAGCGGCGCCCTTTTTTCCGGCGGATTTGTCAGCCGGAAAAGAGGATAATTTTGGTAGTGAAAATTGCTAACAAGTATTTATACTTACAAAGAAATGAAATCAAATATTCTAGATGATCACGAAAGTAATTACAATAATCAAATCAAGATATATTGAGACATAGATTCAAGGGATGGAGGCAATGATTAAGGGATGTGATATGAAAGTATAGATCAAGGGATGTGATATGCACTACTAAAAATAAGGGTATCACCGACAGAATTTACCAACGGATCCCAAAAAAATTAAAAAAAAATCAACTTTTATCCACGTCCGTCATAAATCCCCCACTGAATTTAAAAAAAAAATATGTAAAACGGTTTTTCAACGGATTTGTGATGGATTTTTTAGTTATTGAAAACCGTCACAAATCCGTCGCAAAATTTGTTTAATTTCATTAAATAAATTAATTAGCGTTAATCAATAAAGTTTCCGATGGAATTTAGTATTTAATAAAATTAAATAAATTCCGTCGCAAATCCGTCAGAAAATTTTAACACCTTTTTATATACATATTTTTCGTAGGAAAGAAATAAAAACACATTTTTCTTTTAAAAATACCGACGGATTTTCGACGAAATTTATTTTTTTGTATTAAAAATTAAATTCCGTCGAAAATATTTAACACCTTTTTATATATATATTTTTTGTAGGAAAGAAATAAAAACAAAACATTTTTTCTTTACAGACAGATTTCCGACGGAATTTAATTTTTAATAAAAAATATTAAATTCCGTCGGAAATGTTTAACACCTTTTTATATATATATTTTTCGTAGGAAAGAAATAAAAACAAAACATTTTTTCTTTTAACGTTACCGACGGAATATAATTTTTAATTAAAAAAATTAAATTCCGTCGAAAATGTTTATAACCTTTTTACACCTATATTTTTGGTAGCAAAAAAATAAAAATAAAACATTTTTTCTTTTAAAATTACTGACGGAATTTAATTTTTTTAATTACAAATTATATTGCGTCGAAAATCTGTCAAAAAAAAAAGGCCATAACAACAAAGAAGACCAGAATAGCAGATTAAGTGCAAACCAGATAAATAGCAAATGTAAGTGCAGATCAGATAAACAGCAAATGTAATTGCTCAATTGAATAATCTGACCATATGTAGAACCAATGACAAACACCTACACTCCCCATAGACAAATAAACCGAAAACAACATTTAATGCATGAATCCATGGAACACAAAGTGATGGAAAATATTTCTTGTAATGGCATACGAGAATAAGTGTCATCGTTTATGCATGATGCTGAGGTTAACAAAATTAGAGCCAACACTCAACTGGATGCTTCTTTTCTTTCATATTTCAAAGGAAATCTTCTCTTTAAAATCAGATCCACAAATTTAACAAACAAATACATTCTACATAAACCTATATAAATCGAACGGATCCATGGCTTTGAATCGAACAAATTCATAAACCTTACTTGAGCAGAAATCTATGGCAGGAATCGAATCCATCCATCTGCTACATAAATTTTACTTGAATAAATGGCATCCATCTGTTGTATAAACCTAGCAGAAATCGAATTTAAAAAATGAATTGAGGTAGATAAACCGAGCAGATTTAAACAAATCATGGATACGTAGAGAAACCCACTCAATGAAATGTATTGGGAAAAACTTGATTGGGCCTTTATGGGCTTAAGTGGCACTTAATGAAATGT